TTGTCCACACGAATGAGAAGAACCACTGGATTAGAAATTCGCTCTGACTAGAGCTCATCAGCATTGCACACCGATGGCGGTAATCGAGTCCAAGACATACGATATGCAAGCCTACGGTCTATCATGAACGAACGATGAACGCACCCGAATCACCCCCAGCTAAGCAGACGAACGTGGTCAGGTTTGGGTGATTTGATTGGTTTGCCCGTTTCCTTAGATCCGGTTGTTTACGAGTGATGGTAGACTGCGTCTGTTTTTTTTTCTGGAAACGTACCCACGCGTTATTCACTAACACAAGTGCAACCATGGTAACTTCTACACACAACGGCAATTAATACAATAGACCTCTGAGCAAATCCCATAGTGGACGAGCAAACCAAAGACAACGGAACCCAGACCGAAAGTCAACCGCAAAAGTCACACTGATTATGGTACATAGCCTTGCCAGATGGCATTAACCGTGAATATATGTACATAATAAATCGGTTTAGTTCGCCCCAGTAATTCTCAATCTGTTTTGCGCTGTGCAACCCCTTGAGTTTTGCTCACCAAAAGCAAATAACCCCAAGAATATGAAAATTACTCATGCGTGGTAAGTAGGAAAATGGATGGTTACAAGGGCATTCGGGCGTTCTACAAAATCAATCTGGGAGGAGAATTGACAAAGATGATGACACGAATTTTTTTTAAATTTCGAAAGAGGTATGGGTTGATGAGAAACTTGAGATAACCTTCTAGATAGTTGAGTACTTGAGGCAGTAAAACGTAAATCAGACTCGACCTCCAAATAGTCTTTACACAACTGAGTAGGCTCATTAGAGGCCTTCCAGTAAACCGGGCGTGCACAGGGCAGCTACTGTTTCAGGACTGTTGCATAACATGAGGTCCAGCGTCATCAATGCGGCGTTAGATGGAAGTCTGATGTAGAATTATCTTACGAGCGGGTTTCTTTGGTGCGTGTATACAGGGTAATCGTGAGATCTGAAGCCAGGTAGCTTCCCAATTTTGTCTAATGCAGCACATGTTCACCGCCAACTAGATTTCTAAACAAAGCACACAAAAACACAAAACATAGCCCTCTCCCTTCCCCCCCCCCAAAAATATTCTAGATCCAAGTGCACCAGCTCTGAAGTGCGGGTATCTCCTACATTATTCCCTTTAAATCCCGGAAGAATGAGTGTAGACTTAATCCACACGACCTGTAGATAGAGGACACTACAAACGTGAGGAACCGCCTCTGCAGACGGTTTTCTGCCCAGAAAAAGCCACATCAGGTATGCGGAAAAAGTTCACGGAACTGCTAGTAGTCAGCATAATTCTATAAAATTCTCATTCGGGAAGTGGCTATCATTATTGCAGAAGGGTAATTGAGTATATGTTGTGTATGAGCAATGTATTACGTCTTTCTACTGTCCTGTTTAGTGACTAACGTAACCATCAATGTGTCGAGAGTATTTGCCGGTGGTTGATCAGATGACCGTTGATCTGTTCTCCAAGCTTGGCAATTGGCTTGCTGGGGACGAAACGTTTGCAAGCCGGTTGCCAAGCTCGGCCATCCCATCAACCACTAGAACGTACCTATTTACAACAGTAAAACTGATTTGCTACAAGCAGAATTCGATTTTCAGTCTAGTTACGGAAGCCCAGGGTGGGTACTAAGACGCAGTCCATGTCCGGTCAACACAAGCATTTATGCTATTAAGTGGAAATTTTGATTGGTAGGCTGGTTCCCAAAGAGAGAATGTAAGCCATGAACAAACACTTAATTATTCAAAAGCAGGCTGTATTACAGTCATCTAAATTCAATGGCCTCTTAATCTTTTAACCCGCAACTACAAAGAAGTAACATGCTCTCAATAAGTGATTACAGAAGTAACTCAGCAAACACGACAGGGGATGTCTTCCTCTTCCGGATATAGCTCCCCACACTTGAAGGTAGGACATTGGTGGACCTGAAAACTATGCAGCGGCTGCGGTTCATCTACGCTGATGGGTCGATTATGCTGCAAAGATTTGCGATCGTTATACAACCAGATGACTATCTCACCGAGGAAACCATTGGGGGAAGGGTATTTGGTAAAATCGCTACTTTCGAATGCTCCGTCTTCCTCCGTCAAGAAAGCAAAAGCTTGAACTCTTCGGATAGGGCAAACAGCTCTGTAGTGGAGCAATCAGTAAGAACATCCTACTGTCACAGCAAAGGCGGAGCAGATGTGGCTTCGTTTGGAAATACTTCCGAGTTCACAGCTAAAACTGCTGGTCTGTCGAGCAGTTGCTGTTTTGTCTTCACCTGAGTGCTATTCTACAGAGTTAATATATCCTCCTCAGTTGCCGGGGGATTTTGTTAGAGGAAGGGATTCACATCACATAAAAATCAATCGTAAACAGAGTTAATATATCCTCCTCAGTTGCCGGGGGATTTTGTTACATCACATAAAAATCAATCGTAAGATTCGTTCCTTTAGTTTGTCCTTCTGAAGTATGTCTGTCGTGAAGAGGGAAGAGTGCATTTAAAGTGCAAAAAAAACTAAGAATCTCCCAAACCCACGTCTTTTTAAGGTGCTTCTATAATGAAGGTTCTTTATGAAGACGTGGTACTGTGATTCTAAACAGTGTCGTCCTGTCACATGCCGGGCGCAGCGCCCAGGCTTCTATGTTCTTTCTTGTCATGCTTTATTGCGTATATGACCAAAACGTCAAGTCAATGGCTATAATAGTGTGAAACAAGTATCCAGTGTCTTTTTGTATGCTGACTTTACTGCTCCATTTTCATGCCCACTTTCTTTAAAGGGGTCAGTGGATGTGCCTGAGATTTTTTCACTTTTAATCACATGTGTTCATTTCCTGCACAAACATCCCTAGTCTGCGATTTCTGAACTGGTTCCCTTCTCTTCGAGGCAATTTTACGAGTTCCACTGCACAAATGCTGCATCACCTTCCTCACCTGTAACGGGAATGTCACAACTCTTCTAACTTGATTCGAATTAGCTCCACTGATTCACTACACAATGATATGAAGAAACCTTCAACGGGAACACAGGACACTAGATAAGAGAGGAATCTGATGTAGTTCTGATTTGTTAGTAAACTGGTACGGAGCCACAGAACTTTATGTTCATGTTCATCCAACAGTTCGATGATCGAGTCACTTTTCTCAAGAGCTGGTACAACAGTCCAACAGGAATGAGAAACTACTGCACCAGTTTCTGTCACGAATGATTCTTATGAAGTTGAAGTTACGAAGCCTTTGTTTTAGTTACAAAACGGCTTGACCGGTGGTGCAGGATCTTCCAGCTAGCATATAACGACCTTGAAGACATGACAGAATGAGGGAATAAACTGGTACCTCTTGAACTCGTGTCGTCTATTAACATAAACGGATACAACTAATGGAAACACATTTAATAAACCTTAATGCTCCATTATGCGGTGGAATACTCAATATTTTATGGTGACTGTTTGGCTGCAACGCTCTTTCGGTGCCTAGTTGCTATGCCAACCAGAAGAAGCACGAAGGCTGAGATACTGTCAAGTTGCCTAAGCCGAGAGAGAAGCAGTCGAGACGTTGAAGTTGGGTTCGGACCAGGGACTTTCCGGTGAGTAAATCCGTGCCTTAAGTATTAAGCTGTCTCGAGCCCATTATATGGTAGGAACACTGGGACATCACTTGCAGTGTTTACTGAGATAACTATGAAATGAATCAATGGAGCAGGTCAATAGGTGGCACGAAAGTGTTCGAATTGGGGAAATTATTTTAGTCACTTGTACGTGTAGATTAAGAAGCAAGGATACTATTGAACTTAGTATTCAACCCAGCTGGGAACATCGAATGGCTGACAGTGTGCCCTTTCCAGCTAATCCACCGGTAAGTGTAGCTTACAATCACCTAAATTTGGACCGCTTCTAGTTACTCAAAGAGCCCAAACCATAAAATTGAAATTAGCTTCTACTGGTATGAGCACGATAGATCACAATAGGGGGGTTGACACAGCAAAGAATCAATGACTACCTCATGACGGATGTCCAAGCGCATATCCCAAATAGATGGGATCTAAGGAGCAGAGCGGGACCAATAATCAGTCTACAGTGTTTCCGCTCGAAACCAAGGGCATTTTCGAAAAGTAAGCATTTAATTCTCAAGAAATACTCTCATTAGCCGGCCACTGTGAGAGAGCGATGAATGGGCCCAGATCCGGGGAGGTTTTGTCAGAACTAAAACACGGTGATTCTTTCAGAAATAAGTGTATCAGAATTCGTCACAGAAGTGTAGCGATTCCACCGACCCTTGCTCTCAATAGACATCTTTGATCGGGACTCAAGGAAGATCCCTGTTCAGAGGAGACCAACATGAATCGACATCATCATTGAGTTCCTAACGCAGCAAGTCAAAATGAAATACTCAGTCGTCAACGGGAGTTGGTAGCAGTTCCTTCGAGTGGAAACGAGGTCGCGAGGGCAAACAATGGCTTTTGCTCTTGTGATGTGATTCTCAATCTTTGCAAAAAAAAACTTGGCAAGTGTAAGCCGACATTCGAATATACCGGTTCATGTGAACAATACATGAGTAAATAAATAACCTTGAAATGCCACAAATAGCAGTTCACCCGCGTCCACGTTGAGCCATTAAAAACCCAGTGCTGAACAAAACGCGTTCAGACTAAGGTGAGTAACCAGTAACTCTGGGGATCCGGAGTTGATGCAGTTCCGTATAATCATGAGGCTGACCACTGGTGTGAAACCAGCTATCTGAATCCATCTGACTTTTACCAAGTCAAATTCCATTTAGACTCACTTAATTGAGTCATCAAACTTTACCAGCTTTGACTATGGTCAGGATGCAAAAAAAGGCTATTGGTAACCTAGGTGGCGCGTGGAAACCAAGTCAACTGAACCAGTTAGAGAATGAAGTGAAGTTCTCCAGAGCACCGTGTGATGGAAGAATAGATTAGACTGAGAATGGCGGCAAAGTTTGAAAGACAACACTGGTCAGGATAACTCACAAGCATAGTAGATGAACGACAGCTCGGGTTTTCCATGTATTATTGGCTTGCCAGTGCATCGGTCGTTTATCTCTGGAAAGAAGGAAGAGAAACGGATGATGACGGTAAGTAGGATAATCATCTAAACACCATCAGCACCGGATAAAATTCTATCCCTACGGAGAGTCGAATCTCAAAAGTAGTAAGCTAGGAAGCTACTACCCTAACCAACTGAGGTGAGTTATTCAACATTACGTGGAAATAAAGTCCTCGGCAAAGCGGCAGATTTACCAGTAAATATCACGTCAGCTTTTTCTTCGTCCGCAATCAAAACCTTGCCGTTTTATGTGACAGAATAGCTAAGAATGCATCGCAAACTGGCACACAGTTCCCGCATATCGATTGATCCGAAAGGTAGGGATCCATATTATACAAGCCACTGAAACGTCCAGATCGTTGTGAATGCTGGGCGTCAGAGCCAGAGTCGTTACGGTTAACCAGTAGAAATTATCCGACAGTCCGAAACAAAACTGGGGATACAGGGGCTAAAATTCCTTCTGACCGCGCCACCAGGCCCAGGCGATGACCCGAGGCATAATGCGCAAGTTAGATGATTGCTCCCGCGTCCTTTATCAGTCAACCTTCTCCATAACCTCAACAACTCACTTCGGAGGCTCGGTTACCACCGTTACCACCGTCTACGTCCTCTATTCGTCACTGTAAGCCTTGATGTCCGAGCGAGTAGAACCTTGGACTCACAAGAGTGTTCACAAATTAGTCCACGATGACGAACCTGATGAGCTGTACACATGTTGCTTCGAAAGTACAGATGCAAAAACAAAATTTTCTGAAAAAACGGGGATTCTGTAATTAAGTTCGACAGAGGATCACCCTCTCTCTGGAGTCTATCGGTCACGTTCTTTGATGCTATCGTGGAAATCTATCAGTCACAGCTGAATAACCTCGAAGCTCTGTAACGATTGGACTTGTTAGGAAGCGGCAGCTGTCTACAAGTAACAGGGATCTATGCGAAGATAATAAGATAACAATAAGATGCACTAAATCGCGTAAGGATGAAGTATGCAGTGGTTTTTCTGGGCCGTAGGTCGAACGCAGATTGATGGTGCGCTTGAATGAGGGGTTTACCGTGCCTAAATGTTGCAACTCCTGCGTCCTCCCACCCGAAACTAACGGTTTAAATGCAACTTCAACCACGCATCCATCACACCGGCTACACAAGGTCACCTATAAAGCTCACTAGTCTGTCAATCTATTGTAAAATCCGGATTTGTGTGGCTTTAGTAGTTAGTAGTTCACCGATAATCCGTTGAGTATAAACATTAAGAGGGACGGTTTGCAACTCCTTAAATCGGATAGTACGTCCCGGAGGATGTACCTATCCGAATATCCATACGCGAAAGCTATGTATCCATATAGTGTCAACTCCCAATTAGTCTCCGCGGAATGTTTCAGGCCATTGATGTTGCTGAAACCTGAGTCAGTGAATTAACGAGTTGAGTGTGTGCTGTACGATGCGACTTGGTTAAGATGGTCAGTCGGGGATTAAATTATACCAACTTTGAGTGCCATGCACCGTTACTCACCTACAGGTGTTTGTTCATCATACATAATGGAACACTTAAACTGAGTGTTGTTCTTTTTACACAATACAATCTTCCCTACGTTGCAACCTGGTTACCTTCCCTCATTTTCCTATTCACGGCTGTGTACTAAGTGTGCTATTGATCTGGGTTTTTTGGTGTGCTTATGATCAATGTTTCCCTCTGTCCTGTTGCATTACAAGGAGTGGGTAGTAGTGAATCAAACTTGACAGCACGATAATTTCTTAATACATTTACCTAGAGCGCCTGTATTTATTGATGTCCACCTGTTTCGCTCCGTTGCGGCTTCCGCACCTGTCATTCACCACGCCACAAGGGCTGACAACGAATAGGCCAGTATGTGCGATTGAAGCCATCTACCCATCCGCATTCGTGATCCGTTTGCTGCGTCTTCTCCGACTTTTTCTGTCGTGACATCCGTGTGATCGCGCCGCCAATCAGAATCCCCAAAGGTAGGACCACAATCCACACCATCGAGCCAACAGTCCGCTGGCGGGCATCTGGCGTGCGGACTTTGGTGCTGCGCTGTACAGGTCGGTGACAGCATTACGCACTTGCTAACAGCACGAACGTAGACGATTGAGGTCTGTTTTTTAATTTCGTTTACCTCTGTGTGAATAGTATGCTTTCGAACCTAGCTCTTCCCTTAACATTCAAACTGGTCAAACCCACGTATCACTCACATCCCTGTATCGAGAACCTCAACTTGGTGACCTGCTAAAATGAACTTCAAACAATTAAAGAATTGGCATAAACAGTGGCCTTCAATGTAGACGTTTCACACTTTAAGATGGTCAGGCTCTAGCCATACCGACGTTTGTCCTGGAATACCTTACCTTTTATCCCAGACCCTCGCGATTGTCGCATAAGACGCCTTTACATTCCTCTAAAAGGTATGGCTGAATGACAGCAGTGCCAATAGGGAGTGAACTGTTAAGTAACATAGTACTATTTAGGGCTAAGGACACTTGCGATACTGCCTGTCAAGGTGTGACTGTTGCATATTCCAACTTCCCTCATTCTCATATTGACGACGGATGAGCCCAGGTAGTCTATGCAGAGAAATTTTTGGAAAAATGGACGGGATACAGACTGGATAACAGACTGGACAATGACCTGGAAAATTTATATAAAATGGAAAACTGCTCCACTCACTTGATTGCCTGCATCAGTGGGAATTCGAAGCAATCGTAGGGGATTGGAAGAAAGGGTAGCAAGCCAATATGATAGGCCAGTATGTATCCAAGTCCATGGGCCAGTGGCGGATACATGAGAACTTCGGGGTTGGTACGTCTACACTTGGCGGCAACTTTCCGGTCCATCGCGCCCCAAACTGTACGTTTCTGTCTCTGATATTCATTGATAAGGTTGGAGACCTATATAACGGGAAAAAAGAGATAAGGCTACTGAGCAGCGCTGGTATAGCTGCATGCCTCAAGTTTTCTTAGAGTGGCGTGCCCATGGGCGTTCCGGAGCAACGTAGTTAATACTTGTCCGATAAACAAGACAGCCACACCCTTGGTGGAGCTCAATGGTGAACAAGAGTGCTACCGGTAAACTAGACAGGCGACGGCGGCTCTTTACGTTCTTCCAGCTACACCGCAGGTGATACCTGAGTGTATGAAGCCTAGAAACGTGTTATCGAGCAAAATTCAATGGGTGTAGTAGTTGTGTCAAATTCCAACGAAGCTCCATGTGAAGCCATCTACACTCCCGTTACATGAAGTAGGAATAACTGCAGTATTTCAACTTACATGGGTGGACGAAAAAAAGGCAGTAAGAGAACGTGTGTATTCCACTCCACTTGTCATTCCAAATGACAACTTTCAAGGTGGTGATTTTTTACCTGCCCCTTACCTCACTGATTAACCGATCATCATTCGCCTTGATATCAATGTTGACGATGACGTCTGGAAAAGCATCAAAGACATCTCGAAGGCGAAGTATCCGGGAAGGCGGTGAGTGTAATTGCTCGCAAACTTGTCCTGATGAACAAAGACGAAGGAAAAATTAGGAGTTAGCACAGAGGAAACTGGGAATATACTAGGTATTGATCTGCGGGCTGTTAGTCGTAGTGAACTCGTAACTCGTAGTAGTCGTGCAAATTTGAAGCTACATCATTAAAAAGTTATTCTACAGAATTACTCACCGATCATTCTCTGACTTCTAGCTACTTGACTAAATGTAGCTACTTCTTAAACGCACAATTTCTCTCACCCGTTTGCTTTCCTCACTTAACATCACTCTGCTGGGTCATTTGAGAGCATCTTGAAAAACCGATAACCAGATGTGGACATTTTTCAGCCCTAGGGTTTTTACCATCTCCAGAAATCAGTCTGTTTAGTGCCTCCCCTTAGAAATGGTAAAAGCTGAAATCTGATTCATCAACTCAAGACATGTCCCATCTAATTTGACCTGACCGAAATTTCAGAACCTTTGCAGACCCCTCTGGAGTTTCATACATTACTATTTTTATCGAAACGTTCATGTAACAGTGCTGTCCCTAGACACTGTAAATAAGCGTTTTACTGTAAAGTAAGCTTGGTTTGAAGGCACTTACATTTCCGCAGCATCATCATCAATAGCAGTTATAGGAACCGCGTACTTGTTGCAGTGGTTGTAACTGCCACAGTTGTGTCCATCGATGATTTGGGGAGGTGGGATAGGTAGCTGTGCATTAGAGGCGGGAGCTTATGAATTGGTACGTAAGCACTTGCCTGTAAATGTACTTTCAAGTAGGGGGTGGGTAGGAAGTTATGCAGTGAAGGCAATAGCTTGGATTCACGCGCGCCATTGAGGGCGCGATATGGCAAGGTCTCCAGCCATTGACGTGGCCCGTTTCGGGGTCCCCATCCAGGGAGACGGTAATGGCCAACACAGCTGAGTTTTCTAGTAAGGGCTTTCACATTTCACAGCCAAGTCATTGTTTGACATCCCCTGGCTCGTTTCTACCCTTCGCGTTGTTATGCGAAAAGAAACCTTCGACTGGCATACGGAGCACATGGCCAAGCCAACACAACCTATGCAGTGTGATCAGTTTATCTATCGTGAACGAGTTATTTCAGCATTGCTGATCCGGTGTTCCCACCAGACTCGAGCAATGCTCCGAAGACATCGATGGTCAAACACTGAAAGCCCTTTGACATCCGTGGCGCGCAGTGGCCGCGTTTCTGACCCGTACAACAATATGGATCGCACCGCAGTATTCTAAGCTTGACCCTTGACAGATAAATTGATGTCACGCATACGCTGCAGGTGACGCAGATTCATAAAATTTGCTCTGGTTTTCCAATCCGGATGGAGATATCACCTTTCGCTAGACCACCCGGACTGATACAGCTGTCCAGGTGGACAAACTTGTCTACTACCTCAAGCGCCTCATCCTCAAGCGTCAGGCTAGGGGTCGAGCCTACCCAGTCTACCAGTCGCATTTTACAATTTGAAGGCGTGAAGCGCATGCCAAACCGTGAGGCAGAATTACTTATATTGTTTAATTTTTTTTTGCATTTTACGGCATCAAATCCAAGAAGAGCTATGTCGTCTGCATACTCGATATCTGTGAGCGGACGCCCAGGGAGAACTTCGACCCAAAGGCATTAGAGGCTGAGCACCAATGACGAAGTTGAAAAGGAATGGTGAAAGAGGACAACACTGCCTGACACCAGCTGATGTGGTGAACTTAGGCGAGAGCATCCCGTAAACTTTCACACGGCCGTCGGAGTTGGAGTACAGAGCCTTAAGGGGGACCAAGCATTTATGGGGGCACCTTTGTTCCACAGAAATTACCATAGTCCTGGGGGTTCACAGGGCGAAAGGCAGCTTTTAAGTCAAGAAACACAATCATTATTGGTTGCAGGAAACAGCGTCACTGTTTCAGAATCTGTAGGAGAGCGAAGATGTGATTGATGCATCCTCTTGCAGGACGGAACCCAGCTTGGTTTTCGTGGATCTGCCTCTCCTTGCGTTCAGTCAACCGTCGAAGGATGAGACCAGAGAGCACTTTCGATGCTACAGCTACCAGGCTTATGCCACTGTGGTCTACGCACAGCATCCGCATGTCCTTTTTGAAGATCCGAAGAACTGTCGACATGCCCCATTCTGCAGGCACCTCTTCGTACCACATAGCATTGATAAGCTTTGTTAGTTTGTTGTTTGTCACCTTGGATTCTACGCCTTCTTTGGAGAGGGCTGGATACAGACCATCCGGTCCCATCACGCTTCAGTAAGGATATTTCGTACTTTATTTATTCCGACAGGCAATTAAGGTTTCCATTCCATTAGCCCTAAGGCTGGGTTGCAGGAGGCCAGTTAAACTGTTCTTTAAAGTGTTCGGCCCATTTTTCAGTCGGCGTTTTCGGGAGTGAATTAATGAGTGGCCTTTTTCACCTATCGTTTAACTGACCGCTGCTCTCCTAGGGCCAGTAGATCGTATCAGTTGGTATAGGACATGGCTACTTCCACAGCAAAGGCCTTCTCCATCTTCCTAGATTCCGATGTCCACCAGTCATTATCACCATCATCAATGACAGCAACATCAGTGTCGGCACTGATGCTTCACTGCCGTACAACCATAAAATTCGTCTAGTTATATATATATATATATATATATATATAATATAATTGCA